TCAGTTGTACAAATGATCGTAGTACAATCATGAAAACGGAAAACGAAGAATATCATGCAGTGCTGTTATGTAAAATTAATTGATAATTAATAAAACTTAATAATTATAAAATGTGCGTAAGCGTATACACACAGTATTTAAACACAAAATCGTAGTTTATTCTTTTCACATTTCTTTTAAATATTGCTACAACATCATTAAAATAATGTTGCAAATATATATTTTAACAATGTTTCTGAAGCATTGCATTGCAATATGCAATGTTGCAACTTTACTGCAATATTGCTGCAAACTTCTGTGCTGTATGGGAATGAAATATACAGGGTGATCCAGGTCACCCGCAGGAGTCGGCATCTATGTATTCCTCATGAAAAACTGAGTCGAAAATGTTAATAGTTAAGGTGTCAAAATGTTGAGGTGTCAATGATTTTTGAATAGTAACTGTTGAAACTGTCTAACCATAGGGCATTAAGAGCGCGCCGTCAGGTACGGCGCATTAAATTGACGATCGGCCGGCGCGCGACGAATACCGCTAAACAGCACGGTACTAAACGAATACTGCAAAGATTCGATGAAATCTCTATTAAAATTTATTGCTCTTATTCCTAATTTGAGTTTAATTTAATTGTAGAGAAGTTAATTGCAAATTCAACATCATTTATATCAGTAGAATAAGTATGAGTTCTTAAAATACATTTTATGTATTTTAAAACGATTAAATGAATGAATTAAATTTAGAAACGAATAAATTAATAAACAAAATAATAATTATCGCGCTGGTTGATCCTCGATTTAATGCGCCACACCTGACGGCGCACTCTTAATGCTCTATGGTTGGACAGTTTCAACAGCTCACTATTCAAAAACCGTTAACACCTCAACATTTTGCTATTAACATTTTCGACTCAGTTTTTCATGAGGAATACATAGATGACGGTTTCTGCGACCTGGATCACCCTGTATATGAGTGTTACAAATAAATAATTTTTTAAAATAACTTTTTATCACAATACGTTAAATTTACAGTTTAAAAAATTACAAAAACGAGATAATTGCGAATTATTAATTTATGTATATTTGTTAGATATGATGGCATATAAATCATAGCGTATATATAAACTTTAAATGAATAATTTTTACGTCAGCTGTGCAAAACACGTTCTCTTCTAAGATAGCTTTAAATAGATTGAATTATTGTTAACAAAAAACCGAAATTATAAATTGCTTAAATTCACACATGTACGATTACATATTAATGCTACATTGGTAAATTAGGCGTTTTCCGTTTTGTAATTTATAAATTGAGAGATGTGACAAAATTGTTACAATATTATTTTAATAATGATAATTATAATTATGTTTGCAGACAGGAAGAACGTAAAACGTCACAGTAATCTGTGAGCAGTTATATATAAGAGATCCAATAAAACAAAAAGTATTATATTTTGAAAAGTTTATTGTGCATTTTTAACCTTATTTTTACCCAAAAACCATTTTATTAAAGAAACATTTGATTAAAAAAACAATATTTATTAAAGAAAGCAAAATATTTTAAAAAATCTTTATTATAATGATTTATTAAATATTTTCATAATATTTACAATAATGTTTATGATAAATATTTTTATGTTATTTATGATAAATCTTTATGATCTGTCCAAGACCACAAAAATATTTATGAAATGTTTTGATAAATATTTTGTAACATATTTTATAAATATTTTATGCTGTTTGGGAACATGTATAAACTATTGCCATTTCATTAATTAAAATTAAATTCTTGAATTGCTAAAAATTACTTGTGACACAACTTAAAATTGATCTTTTTATTTACACTTTGCACGAGAGATTAAAAGCAATTTGAAAATTAATTTAATTAATTTTTTTTAAGGCATCGCCAAACCAAATTTAGCTCCAGAAGAATTCGCAAAAGGGTTGTTTTTAAACACGGCGATTGTAATGTTGTTCAGGGAAATGTTGCAAAACGACGTCGTCGGTATCTTCAGGTGAATATTTTTGGCTTATCGAAAAGATATTAATAAAAGACAATATAAATTCAAGTTTTAATTTGTAACATGAAACATATTTAATAGTGCTCGGAAAAAGAACCGGGTAACAAGAAAAATTGAGAACCGCTCGTTCGCCCGTTATTCGTTGACGCGGGTTCCTCGACACCCGTATCACACGGGTATTCGTATCATACGAACACTCACTTTATATTAGTTCCCGCATTACACGAGTATTCGCATCAGACGGCGAATGAATCGCATTAAATAATTTAACTTATCCCCCGTGTGATACAGGTATCCGCGTGATATGGGTACCCGAGGAATCTATTCTCACCCGTGAGCAAGGAATGACGGGCGGGCGGGCGGGTACCCGGGTTTTCTGAGAACTAATATTTAATAATATTACAATTTTTGTAAATTTGTTATTTTATTAACTGTATGTTTGAAATATAATAAATCTCTCCCTTTAATATAATTAATTAAAAGCGATTAATTGATTATTTTTTAATCATAAATAATTCAATAATGCCTTTGCGAGTCGATACGGATGTTGGTGTATAATAATTGTCAAACAATTTAATTTGTTACAGTGGATTCTGGCTTTAT